TATATATATATATATATGTATGTATGTCTGTATGTATGTATGTATGCCTGTATGTATACCCCTAAATGTATGTATACCCTCATGGTGGTATCGGTGGGAGATGTGTATAATCGGAAACCCAAAGCCAGGACCCTCAGCCCTTGACTTCAAGCGAACAGCCCTTCAAGCCTTCAAGTCGAATGTACAAGCCGCAAATGGCCGAATAATCTTGAGGCCCAGAAGCTGCAAAGCCGCCGAGGTGCCGTGGAGAGTGCCCGAGCCCAGGGGTTGAAGGAGCCCGCGCCCCAGGCAAGAGTCGGTCCGCCAGGGCAGCACTATGCCGACGCCGATGATGAACTGCTACAGTTCTGGTGGTGATGATGATGATGATGGTGATGTTGCTTGTCCTTCTCGGCAGGACTCTTCAATTGCAAGTACTTATTACTTATACGAACAACTCCGAATGACTGCTCCTGCCCCTACTACTACTACTACTGCTACTACTACTACTACTACTACTACGACGACGACTACTACAACTCCTGCAGCTGCTGCTGCAGCTGCTGCTGCTGCTGCTGCTGCTATTGCTACTGCTTCTACTACGATGACGGCTACTCCTACTACATGGCTGCCCACCACCACTAACTGCTACTGCTACCGTTACCGCTACTGCTACTACTACCACTACTACCACCACCAGCTGCCGCTGCTACTACTGCTTCTGTGGGTGACAAAAAACTGCTACTACTGCTACTGCTACCATTAGTGCTACCACTTCCATAGTACTGCTATCACTGCTACCGCTGCTACTGCTGCTACTGCTTCTACTGCTGCTGATACTGCTATTGCTACTGCATCTACTGCTTTTACCAAATCGTCGAACAATGGTAAGGGGCGGTCATACCTGTTTCGCAGCCTCAACCGCATCAATGCAAAGCCGCTCAGGGTATCGCAGCTGCGCGAGGACGCAAGGGGGTGTGGATGCAAGGCATTAAGCGATCGTCGAGTCGAGGTTCATGTCTCATGCATTGGCTTTGTGAAGTTACAAGAACTCACACAGCTTCCTGATCGCCCTTTTCAGCACGCAGCTTCGAAGTGTTGAGGCACAGCCTACTTCGGTTGTCATTCAGCACCCAAGGCGTTGGTTGACCACGTCCGAAAGTGGTACGACATAGCTTTAATGCAGTGTATTCCGTTCTTGCATGCTGAATGGGCCCACTGTTCGTGATTAGAGTTTGCCAAGTTGGTGCACCTGAGCCCACCCATCTTCCCCCAAACCCCTTCAGGAAATTGTGGAGCTTTGCTCTGCGCTGGAGATGGAGAGGGCACGTGCCGCACAGCTGCAGCTGTCGTTCGGGGACTGTTCAAAGCGGGTAAGACGAGCGATGGGCAAATAATGGCAAGTATTTATTTATAATCGTTCTGCTTCCTCCAAGTTTGAAGGGCATTTCGAGTAAACAATTCCATGATCTGCCTCCCGTCTTGACCACCACGAAATCGCTCATGCAACTCCAACAGGAAGATGAACATTGGCTGAGTTTGCACAAACCGAGACGCCTTGAGACGCCAATCAGGTGAAGCAGCTGGAGGCTCGTTGACTTCAATGCTTTTCGTTTAAATATTCTCTCCTTTGTACGATACCATAATGCACTATAATATGCGGGGTTCTACAATTATATACGTCAACATCCTATAGGGTGCATTACTACAGTATAAGATAATGTAGCATACTCCCTTCGGGCCTTCAGGCTGGAGACGCTTGAGAAGCCCAGGAATGCAGAGATCAAAGCGATGCAAAGCACGACGGGGAGGGTAGCCTTGAGAAATGCCCGCAGAAGCTTCCTCAGGTCTACAGTCTAAAGTTTAGGGTTTAGGTATATACGAGTCTGTGCAAAAAGGGGTAATTTAGCAGCGCAAATATGATCCGAGCAACGTGCTTTTGTGCCGTTGCTGGTAAAAAAAGATGCAACTCTGCACGAATCGACACAGAGAGGTCAGAGAATGCTGGAGAGAGCAATGCATACAGAGATAGAACATAATGGTGCTACAACACACTTTAACGTACTGTGGTGTAGTGTGAATTACCATGATATGTACTTGATACACCGCAAGGTGATATAGGAGAGTGGTGTTCAACATCGGCAGGCCGGACGTGGAATGAGTGCTCACTTCCAGGAGGCTCTTGCAAGTGACTCAGAGAGGAAGTATCACAGCAAAACATAGTATATCATGTCACATAATTTTGCGGCATATCACAGCAATACAGAAGTACGTTACATCATACATACATACATACATACATACATATATATATATATTACAGTGTACGTTTCTGATTGTATAAGTAGTATAGTTATAGAGATCCGGACGTTCAATCAAATTCGGGCATGTGCCGGGCTCTATCCGGTTCCGCCTACATGAATGCCGCCGGCACGAACTCCATTCGCGCTACCAAGAGAAACACGACGTTCTCAAAGGGAGCCTGGCAAAGCCTATCCGACGTCCATTCGTGATGCAGCGAACCACAGGGTGTGTCACAGGAATGTCCTGCCTATCACTCGCTGCCGCTGGAGTTCATCTGGGACTTTCCATTTGAGATATCGGAAACCCCATGATTCAGCGCAGGTTTGAGAGGGCATTTCAGGGGGGTTTGTCGGAGACGGTATTGGAATCTGTCGCTGGAGGCCAGCTTCTCTCTGGTCACGTAGAAGTCATGGACCCACTCTCTCCTCCCTTGTATAGAGTATAGAGTCTAGTATCGTATAATAAATATAGTCAACTGTCGTGTATTTATATAGCAGTATATGTGTTATATCGTATACTGTAGTATGTTGTAGTATGTTAGAGCAGCCCAAAAAATTAGCTACTACTGCGGCACGCTTACTCGCCTTCCTAGGCCCGGGAGCAATCGGATCTTTCTGCGCTGAGGACGAGTCCTTCTGCTTCTGGCGAGCATTTCGGATTCACCTATAGTCTCCATTGTCGTTCCTTTTTTTGGTTTAACCAATTCTATATTAAGGATCCTGAAAGGTAACCCCAAACAGGAACTACAATGGAGACTGCAGGTAGGGCCTTTCTTCAGGGTACCCGGTCGTCGCAATAGGCCTGGATGCAAAAGGGCTTGAAAAATGTACCAACTGTTAATTCCCTCTGGTTCCTCATGATACGACTATGGTAGTGTCATACACCCCAAGGCAAGACACGTTTTTTTATTAGTCAGGCCCCTGGTCGTGTGCGGAGCGAACCCAGGGCTTCACCTTCCAGCAGGTCGTTTCCGCTTGAGACTTTGAGACTTTATGCTTTCCGCCGTGCATCCAACACCCAGATGTCTCACGTCAGGCAAACCCTCCGCATGAGTTCCGGCCGCACTGCTACTGTAGCATCAGATAGGTTGGAAGATGTTGGAATTGTGCTCCAACATGTGGCTGCGAAGGAACTTGCTCTCGAACGCTTTGAAGGAACGGGATGACGTGCCTCATGCTGCAGACCAGCGGATGTCGTTTCCGACAACATGTGAATGACGATTGCAGGGAAGAAGGAGACAATGGCAAATTAACAATACTTGGCAATGCGCGGGGTAGTTCAAGCTTGCGGCGGACTGTGTGTCCTCAACTAAGCCCGAACAAGCTCTTTGCAGCGAGGCGCCCCTCCAAACTCAATCTGCCACAATCCGTTACAGTGCGACGGTGGCAACACCAAGACACCCGAGCATGTCACTCCACAACACCCGTCACTAAAACTCATAGCCTATACAGCCTTATGTGACCGCCGATCGAGGCACTGGAAAAAGCCCTCCGGCTGCAAGACGTAAACCGCTCTGTGGAGGACCCGATTCTGGTTAAAGGCGTTGAGATCTCGGGAAGCTTGAAGTGGGGTTTTAAGATACCAAAATAGGGATCCATGGTAAACAATATGGTGTCCTCATGATTGCAATCTAATTCTATCCCTTAAGAACCCAGCAGGGCGTTCGGTCTCGGAGGACTTCTGCATTCTTCTTGCTGTTGTTGAGCGGTTGCCTGGTTGCCTCCTGCTCCCTGGTGTGTCGACTGTGCGGGTGATTTAGACAACTGCCCGATACAGGGATGCAGTCTGACATCTTGAGTTTGTCTTGCTACATGCTAGACTCTGGACCGTGCTGATGGATTCGGCTTGCATCGCGCACGTGCAGTTTAGAGGGTTGATGAGCTCTTGTGAGTTCGGAGACGCCAAGGCACAAGAACCGTTCTCAATGCACGTGAAAGAGTGTAGGCCACCGTCGTGTTAAGGCTTTTGTGCACACCGCGTAAGACCATGTCGCCACAAGATCTAATATGAGTCGTGGAACTCCGGTTCTACCCGGCATGGTGGAATGCAAGGCACAGGCGCAGGAGGATCAATCTCAAGAGGTTCTGCCGCCAGTACATGCACAGAGCGAGCGGGGAGTGCATCCGTGGCTCGCGGTGCCCATTCGACCATGTCAGCTACTGTCGCAGCTATGCTTCTACTGGCAGGTGCGAGAGGGATGAACAGGGCAGGTGCGACTTCGTTCATGTCGATGTTTGCGATAACTGGAAGAAGGGCCAAGCTTGCAAATGGAATCCAGAATGCAAGTACTTGCACGTCAATTTGAGGGGGACTGGAGGACCACCACAGCCCCTGCAGGTGCAGCTTGTGCCCCGTGTCGTTGAGGATTCGGAGCAGCCACGGGACCAGGTGGAGGAGGAGGAGGAGGTGTCTCTGGAACCCGAGGAGAGTCAACTTACTGCAGGGACTGCGGCAAGATTTGGTTACCTCGGTTTCGGTGACTCAGATGTGGAGAACGACACAGACGGTGAGCATAGCGAGGATTTGGAAGAAGTGCGTGAAGAGCCAGCCGAGCGAGAACCCGCGGCTGCCCGCCGACGTGACGTAAAGCCGCCCCAGCGATCGCAGGTGAGTACCGTTCCCCAGCGCCGGTGAGGCGGCGGAAACCCGAAGGAAGGTGCAAGGGGCAGGCAGCGCTCCCCGACAGGGCATGGGACACGAATGTGAGGCACCGGTGGATGGTTACTTGCCGCCGGTGCAAGAAAGAGATCATGAAGGTCTTCAATCACCGTGAGGTCCAGAAGCACAATAAGATCAAGGTTTTCAAATACCGGATGCTTCGGGGATTCTGGCTCAAGCAGGCCAACGGCCAGCTTTTCGGCAGAGTCGGCCTTCAAGGCACTCAAAAGAGGCTAAGCTGCCAAAAGAGGCTTCCAGGCGACTGGGACGTGTCGCGTGCTTCCGACCGACGGCTCGAGCGCAGAATCTTGAAGGGTCAGCTACTGAAGTACAATTTCCAGTTCCATGCTGGCGAAGAGTGCGCACCCAATGCTCCGGAGATGCGCTTTGAGGAGCAGTGTGGCTTGAAGCGCCGCATAGATGGTGTCCCAGATGAAGGTGGTTACGATGATGATAAGGATGCTGGAGACAAAGCTTTGGCTCCGGATGTGAATGAATCTGAGGACTCTGATGATCAGATGATCATCAGACTTGTAAGGCAGGACAGAGCAGGGAAGTGACCAACTGTAGCTTCTCCCTCAAGCGGTTCTTGAGCAGGCCGGCCCTAGATGGACCTCCCGAGTACAGTTTCATTTTTGGAGGTTGGGGACGTTTCACGGTACTGAGCACCAGTATGGCTTGACGTGCTCTGCATCCTGGACCACGGACAGCGGCCTACAATGCAAAATCCTTTTTCGACCTCGCAGAATGTTTGGTCCATGTCCGTAGCATCATAATAGTCTAATAATGGCAGCTGTTTGTTGATCATGTGGACCTGTTGTCTTTTGCTGCCCCTTGGGACCCATGAAGCCTGACCAGGAAAGTCCACCCTCTCTGTCTGTTCAACAGCGTGGAGGCTTCGACTAAGTTGGGCCGCCCTGACAGGAGCTGCACGAGCAGCTCGCTCAAGCAACGGCTGACCGAGAGGAGCCCGGTCCGCTCAGCTTCTCTTTGTCATAGTTGGGAAATACTTTACATTTTTATGGGTACTTAAACTCAATAAGGAATAAAAATGTACATTTTCAACCCTATCCCAACAATGAACTAGTTCTGTACCTCCTGACAAATGGTTTCTGGGGTTTAGGGCCTGGGGTGTGTCGTTTGATGTAGGTTTGACACTTTCTTGGGCTTTGCAGAGACAGTGGGGCAGAGGTGCTTGCAGACAAAGCTGGCTAGCCATTGAAGCCACTTGTGCGACATGGTTTCCATCCGTCTTTTCAGCAGGAAAAGATAGGCTGTAATTATGGTTGCCATACGGTTGATGATTTACATCCTGCATTACCCATAATAAGGAATATGCCAGAATTCCCATAGTTTAGGGTCCTCAAAGTAATGCAGGGTTTATATCATCAACCGTAGCCCGAGTGGTCCTGGACAAAGTTTAGCCTGAAGCAGAGCAGGCACCCACGGTTTTGTATCTGCGAAGGTAGGAGTCGTCCGGCTCGAGTCCTGAGGGAGTCTCGAAAGGAAATCCAACGATGTGGGAGTTTCCGAAAGTTAGGGATACCTCATTTTGGGGTCCTTATAATAAGGATCCTATACTATCTAGGGTACTACACAAGGGCCCCCCTATTTTCGGAAACTCCCACTACAATTTGGCTGTGCTGCTTGCCATGAGGGCTCAGGGCATGTGAATGCCACAAGCCCTCATCCCACCGACAGAGCCATTCCACCCCTTTTGGATACATCTAACAGGAGACTCAAACACGATTGGGCCGTGCAAGTGCTCTACGATCCGAAACTTATAGTCTCCAGCCCGAATCCAAGCTCCAGCGCATCCTGGGCCTACTTTGTCTCGGACATTGCATCACTTGGCCGGCCATGGCTGACCCGCGGGTGTATGCAACCGCCGACTTGCTCTTTGGCCTTAGGGACCTTTCTTGTTGGGGTGGGATATTTCTGCGGTTGCCTTGGTTTCTCACATCTGCACATGACTCGTTAGGTAATTGTGTTGGGACGCACGTCAACGTCTGTGCCCCCGACGTGAGCTTAACTTGTGATGTTCAGCCCAAGAAACCAAAGCGCAAAACTAGAAAAGATCCTAGCGGTGCGGTCAAATGAGGCTGCGCTTTCGTCCAGGGCTGTTGCCACCTGGGCTGGGGGAGACCACCGAGCTGGATACCTCCCTAAAATTCTGTGCGGGCTATGGGTTCGAGGTTTAGGGGTTTAGGGTGTAGGTCCTGGCGGAGTCGCAGCAGGCCAGTTGCAATAGGGTGTAGGGAAAGCTCTGTGAGGGATGAAGGAGTTCACGGGAAGAAGTCAGGGCTTTGAGTAGGGATGTCGGGTTGCGCAGAGCTTCAGGATTGTTTAATCAAAGGGGAGAAGGAGGGACCCTTGATGGGGACCCCTACCCTATAATGGGGTATATCATGGGTATATAATAGCTATATTAGGGTATATACCTAGGGGTCCTTATTAAGGGTCCCTCGTTTCCCCTTGGACTTAATGTTTTCGGGTTCGGGTGTTGTCAGGGTTACTGAGCTTCGAGCACTTCAGACCCAGAGCTTCCGAGCTGCAAGGCAGGGAAGCAGTACGTAAGCGAGGGACCCTTAATAAGGACCCTAGGTATATACCCCGAATATAGCTATTATATACCCATTATATAGCCCATTATAGGGTGGTTTTAACCAGAAAAGTTGCATGCTTCTAGTATGTGCCGTATACGAGCACATCAGGCTACAATACTGTGTCAGTCGGATCATATCTCCAAATCGATGGTGATCAAATTTTCTGTATCCTCTCCAGGAAACACACGCGCACATGCGCATGTGTGTAGATAGATGTTGTTCTTTCTAGATACATATTCTGCTAGGTACACGAAAAGTACCTCAGGGGCAGGGCAAAGCATCCGCCGACCAACTCTTGAGTCCGAGTGCCGAAGTTCCCGCCGAGGAACCAAAGGAGAACGCGCTCGGCTACAAGGCAGGTTTAGGGTTCAGGGTTTGGGGCTTCGGCTTAGTTTCTGGATCCTTGGCAACAGGTCGGAGGGTCAGTCCTGGCAGCCAGCAAGCCCGGGTTCAAAAAAATGGGCTTAGGGCGGGGTCACATCGAGTTTGTTCTGGCAGGCAAAAAGGCGAACAGGTGATCAGAAGCTCGTGACGTTTTTTTCGAGGATGCATGTTCAGCGACGGGCACACTTGACTTTACGACATTGACACTTGCTCGGATTCAAAGCAAGGCCGAGGTAATATAGGGGTCTTCATAATTTGAAATAGGGTTTTGAATTTACTATAACTTAATGAGCCCGCAGAATAGTATAGGTAATAATTAACTATAGTACTCGTGGATCCTTGAAGGCCTTGTCTTGTGCGACCATCCTGAGTAGTAAAGTAGGTAACCTTTAACCTTTTTTGGGTAGTATAGTCCCTATATATCTATATCTATACATATATATATATAAGTATAATCCCTATAAAACGAAAAAAGGTTAACCTTTAGTTCGCCATGATACCCGACAAGTAGGAAATGTAGAATCTCCTCAACCCTAAGCCCGTAACCCCTAAGTCTCTAAGTCCTACTGTAAGTCCCTAGACCCCTAAATCCTAACCCCATACATGGATCACTCGTAAAGGAAGTCCTGATTGGTTTCTTTGGTTCGGTGATTCGGTGATTGGCTTACACCTACGTTCTTTTCTTTGGCTTGGTCAGTCCCGAGTTCTCGATGCGTGACGTTTGCCTCAAGCCAACCTGCAATATATAGGGGCATAACTAAATTTTGGCGGTTCCTTATTCGAAGTATAGTGTGATGGGCCCCAAAACCCTTCTCAAATTACTAAGCCCCATCTAGTAGCCAACGAGCTGTCCCTTCGAACCGAACCATCCTCGTTTGCATTGTCCGAGTTGCGAGAGTCCAAAGCCCTCAACCCCTAAGCCCTAAACCCTTTGGTGTAGTCCACAGGAACTCCACTACTAAGTCTGTAGCGCTCTACAGTAGACTACAGGTTCGCATCCCCTCGCAGTGATGGACACGCATGGCGCAGGTATAAACAGTTTAACCAAACATAACTACTAGCTAGCAACTTGAAAGCCACTATGGACACTGCGCCACTCTGGTTGGGTCAATTGCCCACTGTCTCGATTGTCTTGTGACATCTCATTGGCCCCATCCTGGGATATGGAGCCTTGCCTGCCTTGTGTGCCTTTGAGCGTCGCAACCCTTTGCTCAGGTGAAGGAAGTCCAGTGCGTGGTCCCGGCGAAGCCACCCTTGAAGCCGGGCCGTCAGAAGGCCCGGCAAGGCGGTTAAGAAGAAGAAATCGAAAGCTCGCCATTGAAAAAGAAGGGCTTGGGTTCAGGGATGTCCACAGGTACATGTGCGATCACAAAATAGGGCTACTTGTAGCATTCTGCTCGTGCTCCTGCTGCTTGCCGCAGTTCAGGCGAAGGGTGCTGCTTGATGTTTGTTGTTTCACTAGGGTCGCAGTGTAGGCATCAGGTAAGATTGCAAAGTCATGCATCGGGAGGTTCTCGACAGACTGAGCAGGATCGAGTTGTTCAGAGGCCAGACGCCCCACCCCACATGGGAGTTTCCGAAAATAGGGGACCCCAATACAGTATCCTAAATAGTAGGATCCTTCTTATAGGGACCCCCCAAATAATCAGGTACCCCTAATTCTCCGAAACTCTCACATTGCTCACATGACAGCACAAAGTTCCTGGCTCCTTTCGCTGTGGCCGAGGGAGCGAAGACAACGACCAAGCGAAGAGACAAGGCGGGAATGGCTCTCATGACGTCAACGAAGTCTTGCATTGGGTTCGGTAGTGGTACTGCTGATGGACAAAATCCTGCATGACCTTAAGGACTCTAAACTATGGGAACTATGGTATATTCCTTATAATGGATAATGCAGGATTCTGTCCATCAGCAGTACCCTTGTGAATATGGATGAAGAGGACAGGGCTGGGGTAGTTTATCGATATTGCACCCACTCGAGACACCTGAACTTGCATGCATGCCGCCAATGTTCTTCGAAGGTCCGGAGCGTTCTTTCGAGAATTGCTTTCTGCTCAGGGACGCACCAAGTATCCTACCAGCAGCGGCAGACTCCGCGATTGTGCACTTGCTATCACTTGCTGTCGTCGCAGTGCTCCGACCGCGCAGACTAAAACCTTCTGCTGAAACCCTAAACCCTAAACACAACCATGTCCCTAGGCCTTGCCTGGCCTTGTCCGAGTGCGAGCGTCAAAAAGAATAGTTGTAAGGGTTAGAATCACGTTCTTAGCACTGGTAACCGTAGGGATATATATATATATATATATATATATATATAGAAGCCTGAATAGTTGCCACTGCCATTCCCTAGGGTTCCTTATCATGTTTCTACGATCCTATAGCCAAAAACCATCTGCTTAAGGCCCCTTTTGTGAAACCCTGAAGCCTCAAAGCCCGAAGGGCCTGATCCGAAGCTTTGCGCGACAAGGCCAGAGAGGATCCTGCCGGCGTGCAGGCTTCAGACATTGCCTGCTGCAAGGACATACTTTCCGGTGCTCAGCCGGGCTAGCCGGCTAGCCATCCTGAAGTACAGCGGAGATCATTGTGCAGGCGTATTTCATCATACATTTATTCCTTTAGAGCGAGCGAGAGAGCGAGAGAGAGAGCGAGACAGAGCAACCCGCTTAATTGTACAAAGTCGCAGGGAGGAGAACAGTAACCGTTCCGGAAGCGAGACCGGCCTTTCAATCGCAATCGCAATCACGGTCAGAGGTGTCGTAGTCGCAACCTTGCTGCGGACCGCAAGAGCACTACCACTTCTGATGCTCAAACTCTGTTGCTCAAAGTGTAACTTCCTTAGAGAGGCATTGGCGGCAAGGTCCGCTCGTGAAGCTTTGAGCCTCTTGAAGTAGTTCGGGTTACAATCAGACAGGTTGACATAAGATCAGGCTACTTCGTATACATATATATATATATGCAATTCAGGCACCATTCATCAAAAGTCCATGCATGGCTACGTTCAGCCCAGTACAGCGCACAAAATGCTCTGGAATGGTCCAGGACGTCGGGAGCCTGAGGACGCTGCTGTGGCAACTGGCTTGGAGCTCGGTGCCCTAAACCCTAAACCCTAAACCCTAAACCGGAGGAGGTGGTCGGATTTCCGGCTACAGTAATATAGGGGTCTAAATCAGTACCCATACTCTTTTTAGGGGTTCCTTATTGCAACTGTAGTATTCTAATTATTAACGCGCCTATAGTAGGTGGAACACACAATCTCCCCACGGACGGGTAGCTCCCTGAATTTCAATTCCGCACAGCACTTCTCAACAAAAGCAGCCATACCTATCTATACACGGCAGGCTAGACAGACAGGCCTCCTGGGAGTTTCCGAAAATAGGGGACCCTAATATAGTAGCCCAAATAGTAGGATCCTTATTATAAGGACACCAAAATAAGCTACCCCTATTTTTGGAAACTCCCTCCTCGCCTGAGGCCTTTGCCGCGCAGAATATCGAGGCCACAGGAGGCTTTGATCACTGTGGCGTCAGGCCGGGCAATGGTGGTAATGCCTTCGGTCAGGGGACCGGGCCCCAACCCTTTTGGGCAACTTGCTAGACCTTAGTTCAACTCTGTTCAGGGATTGACGACAAGGGCCGCTTTTTTAGGGACATCATATAGTCCCCTGCCCATGATATCAGAAACTTGGTTCAGTAATTAAGTGCCCTCACGGGAAGCTCTTTCCTCAAGCCCCATGTTGAGCGAAGGCTCCTCATTGAAATGGGGGCAGTCGCAGAACAAATCCGCGACCTCGGTGCACAAAGGTTTCAGGGAGTCACAGAAACTTAGGAGCTTGAGCTTCCAACTCTGCGCTTGGATGGAGGTCGGAGGTTTGAGCAGTCTACTGTCCTCTGACGTATTGCGAAGTCTCTCGGGGATACTTTGATGCTTGCTTGCCCCTGCCCGACGCCTTGATTGGAAGGCTTCGAGTTCAGTTGCTCATCGCCATGCTGAAAGTTTCGACGGTCTTCGACTGCTCAGAATTGCATGTTACCAGAATACTTCTGGAACCTTGTCACACCACAGCCCAGCCGCGATCTTTCAATCTGGCATGGTAAGGTAATGACGACCCTAGCAGCATCACAGCGCCATGTGGCTAATTTCGCCCAAGAGAGGGACAAATTTCGCCCAATCAGGCGAGATGACTTTGCGCCAGCACGAGCAGCAAGCTGCGATCAGCATCCAAAAGGGCTGGAGGGACGCGCAGGAGAAGTTTTGCTTCGGCGGATGGGATGGGGCTTCCACAAACTCGGGGAGAATAACTCCCTTTCGCAGCAGGAGTCCTTTTAAATTTTGTGTTGCCTTCAGGACTCTTGTTGGACAGATGTCTCGACGCTGATTGTGTCCAGGTTGTCCGGGAGTGCAACGAGTAGCTGGGGGGAACGTACATCTGATTTAAAAAGATTTCAGAGTGGTTGGCTTGACATCCAGTTCAGGCAAAGCACAGAAGAATTTGGAGCAGTCGGCAATAATGCAGCTGCCGCTGCTATACTTGGGAGGGCCTTGCGAAGGTCCAGAAGGCTTCCTTGTTGCAGTTCTGGTATTGAGCGCTATTTGGTCTCAGAACCCTCTGCCAAAAAGTGTCACCCAAAACATAATCGTGTCACGCAGTAAGATAAGTGACCGCAATGCCAAACGGAGGGCTTCTTTTCCGGCTTGCCCTGACTCAGTCAGCTTTCGGTGGAGCTAATGTTTGCTTAACGTAGCCGCCGTAGCCCCTTTACAGAGAAAGCTCGGAGTAGCAGCGCCCTGGAGGAGGCACGGAAGCTCGCTGCACTCAAGGCTGCAAGTGGGATGGGCTTTCTACTTGAGAGTTCTGCGAGTGCACCTGCTTCTGGCGAGATCCATGGGCCTAACGAAACTTTGACATAGTTCACGGCCCTTCAACTGAAAGCCCATTCTCAGGGAAGCCACGGAGTGCGACTGTCATCCTAGCCTCCTTCTGTGTCACAATACACCGCAACCGTTAACCTCCACTCTCCCAAACGCCAGCAAACACCGACAGCCAGTGGCGACCACACCCCCGCATCAGTTAGAACACAGAGTGTAGCAGATGAAGAAGATGATGATGATGAGGATCCATCATGGTGACGTTGATGACGATGATGATGGTGAGGATGATGCCGACGCAGATAATCGGGCCGTTGGCGATGACGGTGGGGTGATCGCATCATAGGCTCACAACGCTGACCCAGATGGCGATGGTGATAGCGGTGGTGGTGGTGGTGGTGGTGGTGGTGGTGGCGGTGGTGGTTTGCCATGGGTGACGATGAGTCAAGCAGCATGATCGGTTCTGCCAAAGTCCGACTCAATGGTTACCACAGTTGCGAAACCCGAGCAGAAGACGCTTCAGGAGCTCGAGCGACTCGAGGCGCAGCGCGGCGCACCTTTGCCGTTCTTCCCGGCGCAGGCTGCGCCGTGGTGGCCGCAGGCCGACGGGAAATCCTACATTTTCAGACATGGGTCTGGGCACCCCACCAGGGAGCGACAAGCGGAAATATGGTTGGCATAAAGAATTAGACAACTTTTGTTTTGCCGTGTTGATAGAGTCCCGAGGTAGTGGCACACATTCTTAACATGTCATTGAAAGACCTGGGCTCATGATGACCACTGGTCATTTCCGGAGCATGTCGCATCCATCGCGACAGCAGCACCGACAACAGCCGTCACAACTTGAAAAACACAGTATGTAATGCACCTCCAGCTGCTTTTGCCGGCATAGTGATCACTGTCCGGCGCCGTCAACCTCGTCAGCTCCGTTTCCAGTATATGGGCGTTGATCAGTATCACCCTTAAGATGATGCTAACCACAGGAGAGATACTAGTGCCAACCACATCAGCGGCCATCCTTCCTGTCGTCATCCTTTTGCCTGGTCGTCGTCGGCACACGATTATCTCCGCTTGCCGCTTACCTTGACAAAGTCCATCGAAGCAAATTGACTGTTTCCTGTAATGCCAGCGGTGTCCTCGTTTTCACTGCCAGCGTACCATCAAATGGCCTCGTCATCATGATCACGGTGCGCAGTACCATGCAGTAGAACTCGGCAGGACCGGTAGGATGCACGGGAGCATGCTTGCATTGAGTCAGTGCGCAGAAAGCACTGCATCACCCCTGACTCCAGCCATCATCAGCAGTAGTCCCCCTGATTTGGTCAATGTGTCGTTCTTCGAATCCGTCATCCTACAGTGCAGTTGCAATTACAGAGCGATATCAAGGCCATGCCGTGGCAAGACTATCGGAGCACACGTCACACGCAATTCAATTTGTACAGTAGGAACGTCATCAAGTGGTAGCGCACAAGATTAGCAAGAAGTAGCATTAGATTCACTCCAGGCTGCAGCCCCCAGCGTGCCCAGCAATGCCAACGCGCTGCTGAACCAGCTGTGCCTAAGCCGGGGTTTGGGGTGTTTCGGTCAACAGATTTCCTAGGCAATGGTTTCTTCGGAGACGTTTGAGTCCATCGAAACCCATCCACCTTGTCGCCGGACAAGAACCATGGCCTTAACTTCTTGTCCCACCATCTACTTCTGCAATGGAGTGCCCTCAGTTCTCCATGACTGCTTGAGGAAGCACGGGGCCTCACCGCCACTACACCCACAGCAGCCCCAACTGGACGGCCGGTCTCTGTTACAGATGCTTCTCGGCGAGTCGGGTTCTTCCGCATGCAGCGACAGCGATAGCACCTTGCACTTCCTGTAGTTTGGTGCTATCTGCTCGGCCAGATACTGCAATGTAATCGTAGTCAATACAACATGTGGCAAAGTACCACCCCCCCGGGGCGCAAAGTTGGTCCGTTTGCTTGATTTGTCCGCATCATCCTTCGAATCATCGCAGTTGTAGCACTGGCAACGAGAGCCGCAATAGCGGAGCAAGGCTTTGCACGGAAAGTCAACAGCAACCGAAACAAGAACTGCAGGAACAAGTACAGCGAACGCGCGGCCTTGTTGGCGAAGTTGCAGAGATATACTACGATGACAGTTGTGAGAACGCTTTTCCCTGCATAGCACACATCAGCAAGAGGAATGAGTCGTATGAAGTACTGACCTGATAAACACAGTTCAACCAGGAATTTTGTTCTGCTGACGCAAGACAGCATGCCTCAGGCTGGGTACGCCCCCGCCGCCGGAGTTTGCGCCCTCGCTCCCACCGCCCGTGCCAGCGCCCTCTGCGAATTCGGGCTTGGACGGCCGGGCTTTGCTGCAGCAGCCACCTGATGCAAGTGGGAGTTTCCGAAAATGGGGGACCCTAATATAGTACCCTAAATAGTAGGATCCCTATTATAAGGACCCCAAAATAAGGTACCCCTAATTTTCGGAAACTCCCAAGTCGGACGGATCATTTGGGGATTCAGATTTGCATGATACTCCCTCTCAGCGTTAGGCCTGGCAAGACGGCGGAAAGATGCCACGTTATTAGAGAGTTAGTTGCCAGAGTCGAAAATGACTACAAGAGGTTCTAGGGTCATGTCATAGTATCAGTATGATTCATAATTTGTCGTATCAGCATGATTGTTTATCCTGACTACAAGGGGATACGACTACAGGAGCTTCGTATAATGTTTACCTATACTATTTTGGGGTTTCCTCATTATAAGTATAGTCACTATAATGCTATACCCAAAACTTCAAAACCCTACCTTATGTTATAAACCCTAAACCCTAAACCACAGTATCTCCACTGCAGGCAGAGGTTCATGTGTGGAGCCTTGCCTGCCTTGTGCGAGTGTGAGCGTCGAAACCCTAAACCCTGGCAGCTACCTGGCTCATCCTGGTAAGGAATTCTAGCTGTTCGGCAGTCGGAAAAGAGCCCTCAAAAAAAATCAAAAAACCCTGGCAGCTCGCCAACGTACCTCGAAGCCCAGGATCAAACCGCAGAGTTCGGCTCCTCCCCTGGACGGCCGCGCTTTGCTTCAGCAGATACAGGCCCAGCCCCGGGGATCCGATCACTATTACTACTACTCTGCTACTATTACTATTATTACTTCTATTATATACTACTATCCTCTTCGGTTTAGGGTTCAGGGTTCTTAACAAGGCATCCGCCAAGCTCCTGTTTCAACGAAAAGGGTTCTTGACAAGGTGAGCTTGGGGCCTGCGTGGGGGTTGGAGAGCGTTTTTTTTGGTTGTTGTTTGTTCTAAATAGGTTTGGGGCTTGGCTTGTTGTAGAGCTTGGGGGCTCTGACTTAGGGTTTGGGGTGAAGGTTGGGGCTTGTCGTCTTGAGGCTTTGGATGCTCACGGCTGTGTCATTTCCGCCCACAGTAGCGGTTTCTTGATAAGTTACCAGCGATTCAGCAATCCGCTGCTCGTATTCCAGCATCTCAGGCCTTGATTATTGCACTGCTTGTGCTTTCGCGGTCAATAGCTTCGTGGAGTCGAGATCAATATGGCCGCGGAAAGCAAAGCTTGCAGATTGACGAGTTTGAACAAGCGGAACTGCGGGCATCCCCACTCATCTTCGGACAGATTCCGAACCTTCACCGGAAGGAACATACTTCGCCAACACCTTGCGGGAGGGACGGGATATGGACTGGCTACAGATGGCTAGGATCAAGGCTTCTGGGTTCGACAGTGCTGTCACTAGGTTCACTAGCTCTTGCGATGGACGATGTGCGAACCTACCCTCGCTGTGAAGAGTGCGGGGGCCTCCTTCAGCAAGCATGCCGGAGTTTGGCAGAGGCGTGGCATTCGGCCTCCGGCAATAGATGCTAGAAGCCCCAACCGGCGCAGCCCGGGTTTGCATGTTATCTTGAACTTGAACGGCGTAGCACCCGTTTGAACGGACATGACGTGTCTTGCTAGCCTCAAAGCCAAGTGTAAACCGACTCGGAGAAGCTCCGTGGAATCGGGCTGAATCCTCGGCCAGGGCCCGATGGCTCCAGCTGTTCCGCCGCCTGCAGTTCCTCCGATTCTGACGGAGACGGAGGTCTTCTGGCCCGAGATGGTTTTCTAAGAAGCTTATAGAATCTTCGCTCAGTGGCCCTTCTGAAGGTCGCACAACACCCGATGGGTTTTGTTAAGACAGGCCTTGCCCGGTTACTTTGTCCGAGATAGATAAGTGACTGGGCCAGAGCAAAGGTCGTACTTCGACTCGAGACAGATATGTGCCGATGCTGCACTTTTCAATGATGTTCCATGGACGCTCCAAACAAGTACAAGTACTGCTTCTACTGGTAGGGCCGTCTGGCATCTGGCTTGATGAATTCGACTCCCTCGCTCACACTCTCTCCTCCTTGTCGGATCTGTATAATATGTCCATCCGCCTCCTATAGTACGTAGCAATATACAGACTTCTACAGATCAAACATGATCGAACCATTTGCAGAGCCACGTGACGACGTGTGTGCGCGGCTGAACCGATCAGGCACCTCGCACCTTTGACCCGCAGTCCTTTTTCCGGCCCCTTGGAGGTAAACTTGAGCTTGCGGGGTTTGCACCGTGGAGCGTTTTGGGGGATGCCGATGTAGTGGAGAGCTGGGCTTCGAGGCTTCGAGGCTTTTAATTTTAGTGCTTCAGCCTGGCGCAGTGGGCTGCGCCGGATGCGGAGCGCTGCATGGCATAGGAGTCACTGGCAGTTCAGCTTCGGAAGAAAATGCCCAGCAGAACCTGACACCTGACTACTCGAGGAATACTAGTTAGGGAGCCCCTCGCGCTCCAAACGCTTCGTCGTCTTCGTGGCGTTCATCGTGTGAGAGTCGGCTTGTTCCTGGTTTTGTAGAGCAGATTGTGCCTCGTGTGCAGGCCGGAAGGTTTGGTCCTAATTAGCAACGCAGCACCTATACTTTTTTGGGTGGTTCCTTACTATAACTATAGAAGTATGATATTCCCCAAAAGTTGGCAACACCAGCAGCCTTAAACTTGAGCCTTCTCCTAGAGGCAACAGCAGGCACGGTGCACAGCAGAACGATGACACGAGGAGTTAGCACCGTCGCAGGACCGAAGTACAGGCTAGTGACCGATTCAACACGCTGACCCGTGAAGCTTCAGCTCCGTGCCCGAAATCCGACTAAGGGTTCAGGGTTTTTAGGGTTGAGGCCCTTAAATTTATGTTGGCGATTCCGGGGTCAACTCCGGAGTGAGTTCAAGGACAGCCGAATTGGCGCAACAGGGCGCCGCCCCGCACCCCGGGCAAGAGGCCATGCGGTTCCTTCGCGAGCTCAATGCAGATTTCAGACTGAGGCATTCTTGGTTTACGTGGATGAGTAGCTACTGCATTCCAAGCTTGCACAAGCACGTGGCAAGTGCCCACGAGAAGATTTTGCCTGCAAAGACCTGCACCAGCCTATTCGCATCTTTGGCTTCGGCCAGCAATAGGGCCGACCGGCCACCGTCGCTGTCAATCTCCCCAAACTGAATGTGCAGCCTCAACCAAGCAAGCCCATTGCGCTGACACAAGTTGTACTTCGTAATGCAGCGTATAGGAAGGAAGCAGGAGTCACAGCTCGTCCCCTTTGCGTTTGCCGATAGTCTATAATAGTCAGGCCAAGGGGAGCGGTTCTGACGTCCTCACCGAGTTCGTCCGAGCAGCGAAGCAATCACAAGGCAGAGCTTTTTGTTGCAAACGCCGGGCTCCAAAAGCACACTCAATGTCAGATCCCCTTGACATGGTCACACCTCCGCTCCATGCGCAGTGTCAAGCTATATTGCTTTAGGGTTTCAAGGGCAAGCATGAGCCGCATGTCCTTGCCGTGTCACGGGAAGGTCAGCGAGACCAGCTAGACGTCACAGCCGCAAAGCCAGTGGAAGCATCCAAACGGATAGTTCCAGAATCTGGTGCCAGCATTCAGGTTGTCCTGCCGCTTTTCGTTTCTTTCGACTCTCGTAACGCTCTCGTAGTACCACAGTAATGGTGCAGTCATCAACTGGCATGTGGAGGCTTGTCCTCGCCATCACACGGGAAGTCATAGACATCAATTGCCAGAAGTGTTGTTGAAAACTTATAAGGATCCGCCCACACAGCCGCCGGTACTGGGTCCACCGTCGCAGCCGGCAGAGTCCGTCTCAATGGACGATGAGAGAAAGGCCATTAAAGCAAAGCAAGATAGACCTTGTCTTAGGGATACTTAGAAATATTTTTAATTTTTGGTTATTATAGTCCCTAAGAAACAGCTAAAATTATACTTTTTGCTAGGGTTCTAAGTTCAGTATAGTGATAGTGGATTGTTCCGGAGCTTGCGTGCAAGCATCGAGCAGAACGGCGATGCACTGGTTCCAACTGAATTTGGCATTGGGTTTCAGAACTACGACCCCGATGAAATGCAATGTGTCTTTATGCTCTCCGACATGCATACTGGACCAGCTTGCACAAACCCGAACATAGACAAATCAATGCAGGTGTGTTCGTTTGCCTACCTGACCATGTGGATGTCCCGAGGTACATTGTGTGGCTGTCCAAGCTGGAATCGAGAGTTCCCCGAGTTTGCGATTTGGTTCCTTGAAAATCGATGCCCATTCCTTGTCCTTGGGAATCGATGCCCATTCCTTGCATTGCCTGTCCGCACATTGCCTTAACTTATTGCGTCACATTGCAAAGGAGTGCACGCAGATACGATTGCAGTTCCTGTCACTGCATGGCACGGCATCATCCATCACGTTCCATATGTATTCAGTCTGCCCGCCAGCCCTTATTGAACCTTTGCTTGCCATCGAAGCTTGCCAGCTCATCAGCCCGCCCAACCAGTCGCCAAAATCCCCCGGAGCCTTCCCTCAGAGGCCTTGCGCGAAAAGATGCGAGCCTTAGCCGAGGCACGCTTAAATTGCAGTTCCCTGAGGGTCCATGTGCTCATATAGCATATACTTGGGCCCCAAAGTACTTAAATAGGGACTACATTAAGGCCAATGTATATACTATATGAGTACATGGACCCTTAGGGGTTGGTAGCAGGTTTAGGGTTGCTGTAACCGGGCTGCTGGACAACGAGGCCTGCTGCAAAAAGGGCTGCCTGGGAGGTCTAATTCCATACTATACTGACGTGGGCGGTTCAGAAGAAAGGATGTGCCTGTTTCACGGGGTTTCCGTGAGCAAACCTTCTGAAACCTTCTTCCGTCCCCATTGAGCACCCTTCTTGGGCATGAAACAGGCACGAAAGCGTGCCGAGAGTTGAGCCTTCCGAGACAAGGCGGGTCAGCATAGGATTTTTGGACAATGCGCGATTTGTTGAGTTGAGGCGAGGCACAATTTCCAATCGGGCTTACCACTAAGGGTCCAGACTTTCCAGGTTCGGTTTCAGGGTTTGCCGTGATGCAGAAGGGAGATTCGGTGCATGAATTTGGCTCAATAAACTCCGACTGTTCAGGGCTCTTAGGTGAAGTTTTTGAGATCGGGGTGTTCTCTTGTTCTCGCTATGTCCAGGGGTAAGTATGTGCACATGTTTGTGTATACATGCACTCTATTTGTGTATACATGCACGCTTACATGGTACATACGTACGTACATACATACATATACACATACCTGCATATATCTATATATGTACATGTGTGTTCGCGCTTGTAGTAACATATCATCGTCCTTTATAGCAATCAGCCGCTCCTTGCCATATGTCTATGCAATATGCACAAGCATGTGCTGAAGTACGGAAACAGCCAGGAACAACATGAACATGGCCATTGTCAAACGTCGGCCCGTTGCGAGGAGCGCACGGGACCCTGCAGCGCTTGTGCGAGAGCCTTGTCTGAGCTTGTACTGTGCCAGGGGCCATTTGCTACATATTTAAGCAGGCTCAGCTAACTTAAAAAAGTCGCAACGCTCAGTAGACTGCTTCGCCATGTGGTGCTTTTGGAGATGGTTTCATCAGTGGACAACGAGCACCACGTCGGAGTCTGCAAATTACAGGCTTGTTTTCTGACCGTCGTCGAATTCTTTTGTGGTGTCGGAGCAGATGTGTCATTCCACTTCTATAGGCTACGCTATCGGCTACCCGGTTGACGGTTTGCGTCTCGGTGTCTGGAGGTCTTCCCAACAGAACATGCAAATCGAGTTTTCCCGAGAGCATGAGCTGAGCCAGCAGCAAGAACCCGAATGCACACCCATTACCCCGGAACGAACTGCCCGGCACGCATTGCCCAGCACAACGGCATCCTCAAACAAGCTTCCGTGCTTCTGCGCACGAAGCTTTGGGCACGGGCCTTGACGAGACTGTTTGTTTTCTTTCCTCGCCATTCCATGAATCTTGGGATTATCCGGCCGTGCTGGACAACGATGGGGAATACAACTCTGAGCGTATGCACCAACATGAGTCAGTGGTTCGTAGCCCAACCATGCACTTTTTTTTTTTTGGACGCCCTGAGCTGCGACAAGAACTTGGTGTCAACAAGCCCGGCCGGAGCGATGCATCTCAATGAGGCTGGGGCACTACTAGATACAAGCCTTGCCACGTTGACTGAGGTAAATGTTGCGGCACCTGCCTGCGAAGCCTCTCATCTGAGTGCATAGCTTACGGAGATGCGCCGCCGACCTGACAATCCGCTTCCCCGCTTCCTCCTTTCACTGGGTTTGACACACGCCCATAAAGCAAAACTAAGTGCTGAGCTTCAGCAGGTCGGTGAGCGTGTCAGGCTCGGGGATGCTACTCGTGGTAGGTGTGCCTCCGGTCAGGGCTCATCAGCCTTCGACCTCAGAGAGGAGAGGAGGGCTTTGGCATAAAGCCTGTTAAACGTATGCAGGTTCCTTTAAGTGTACCTTTGTACAAACTTTGACGAAAAATCGGCGCTTCTTGGAGAAAGGCTTTCAAGCTCAAGCCCAACTCTTGAGCCGCAGACCTCACCGGCATCGGCTGCAAATGCGTGTATACACGTATGTATGCATGTACGCAATGAACAGCAAAGCATACTGCACACATATCTTTGATGCAGCGAGGTACGGATCACGATTTTATCTAGCATGGTGATTGGACTGTCCTGCGTAATCTGCGCATTGCGCTGTAGTTGCTGTAGTGTGTTGATTGACATGATCACAGGAAAGCAGACACCTTTTTCATCTGTCATGTCCGCGGCCACACCACCGGTGGACACTGGTAAAATAATAGGCTTAATAAGCCTTAATAATATTGATAATTACTTTTTGTTGGGGGGGGTTCCTTATAAATACTATAACCGTACTACAACCCCAAAACCCGGTTGCCCTTATATCACGGTACCCTCATAGATCCCATATAGTAACCCTTACAGACCCCTTTAATATTGCAGTTCCCTCACAGATCCCTTATAGTAGTTAACCCTTAAAGACCCCTTTAAAGGGACCCTATTTTAAATACTAAGGCCCACATGTTAGTCTCCTTTGCCATGTCTTTAAGGTTCACCGGGTTCTTAGAGTTGGCCCAGGACACTCGTCTAAGCACCTCCCACGTGGATTCGATCAGGTGCAGTCATGTTTGGGTTATAGCTACGGCTACCAACCAAGTGTCAGGAGAAATGTCAGCCTATCCAGGGCAATCAGAGACTCACCAATGGCTGTTTTGGGCAGCTCAGTAGTCAGTCTTTTCGGGGATTCTGGTTCCATATGCCGTGAATTTGCTCGTCGAGGTCCGAGCATAGAACAACTCCTGAAAGCCCGATCGTCCACCCCAAAATGAGCATGCCGATGCCGACCTGGCAGCTTTGCCAATGAAATGCGCAGCTGCTCCATAGATGCGCAAAGCAGCGCAGGAATCCGATCGAACGTTTGAACATTCAAAAAAAAGGACATGTCTCTTGCTGCCTTGTATGTGTGGGGTGCGTGTTTGTGTGTATGTGTGTGTGTGTGTGTGTTTGTGCTCTTGCTCGCTCATGATGTCCTGTTTGGTGGCTAGCCCATCCAGACTGCTTCATGCCATGACTTTGCTGGCTTTCGGCAGTTGCTGTTTTGTCAGCAACCCGACAGAAGAGGCAAGCAATCTTGCATGGTTGCGGTTGTTGGGATTCTCTGAGAGCCAACTGTCCCTCGTTGCCGGTGGAGATGCTAAACCTGGCAAACCCTATGTAGACTGACGCTCTGTTTCGAGGATGAATAGATTGAATAGATGCGGCTATGGTTACTGCTTCTGCTGTAGCTACAGCAACCACCATAATAACTACTAATTGCTCTAATTACTACTACAACTACTACTGCTACTGCTGCTGTGCTACTGAGACTTCTTTATCCCCTCAGGCTGAACAGCAAGCTGGGCCAGCAGCAGCGCGACTTTGTTTCCTTGCAATCCACGCTGGCCGGGGAGCACAGCAAAGGGATCGAAGAGCAAAGGCAGATTTTCTGTTGTGGTTCTTCTTACCTTTGGTTAGTAGGGAATGGAAGAATGGTAGGAATAGTAGTTGTAATTGTACCCCATTCCTCCATCCCCTACTAACCAAAAGTAAGTCTTGCGAATCTCTGTGGAATCATGCAAGTTCTCAGTATTGTGATTGTCGTGCTGTCTATTGGTGATATTAGTGAGCTGTTGCTTTGTTCCTATATCAGCATGACCACATCACCTAACTGCGGTAACTACTGTATGGGTATCGCACAATACCAATTCCTAAATGACATCGACGGGGCTAACTGGTCAAGAGATTCTGCGGTTTTTGCAGACGGCGCTCTACACGGGTGTGAAGTCCGGGCGACTATCCGAGGACCCCGCGGTGCGGTCTGTAGGGTTATAAGGGTTTAGGATATAGGTTTTAGGGTTTAGGGGGATCAGGTTTAGGGTTGGTGGTTAACGTCTGCAGTTCCGGCTAGGACATCAAAATCACCACGTTGATGCGGTTTGTGCAGCTGTAGTCGCCCGACTGGTATCAAGTACTAGCTACCAAGTGCTGACTATTGGGCCAACCAGCATCGACATGATAAGATGCGTTTCTCCTATCAGCATCCACAACATTCGTTTGCCCAAGATGCGAGCTAAGTCGAAGTACTTCGGCACCGCTACAGTCGAGAGTGGAAGATCTACTGCAGCGGACAGCAAATCGGGGGCTTCACAAAGAGAAAGCATGTCGATGCATGCTGCCACTGGGCTTTGGGCGCTTGTGCCTGACTCTCCCTGACGCGCTTGCTCAGACGGGTTATATGTCATATGTAACTTTTGTCTGCGGGACAAGTGGATGCAAGAGTGTACTAGGAAACCTTGCAATTCAAACTGAAACTTATATTGACCTTGTGCCGGGGTTGCCCTTGCGGATGTCGCCTGTTGCCTGTTGCGGAGCCAGACACAGAGGAAAGAGTCTGCTTTAAAGTCTTTAGAGCTTCTTTGTCTACAGCACAGCAACCCGGCCGCTGAACGGCACAAACCCAACCCACATTGTCAACGACATGAATCTACCCGAGGAGCTGATGTTTAGTAGCCGGGCCTCTCTCCATATACCTGTATGGCATCCAGGACCTCCTCCAAGAGCTGAGGGGCGCCACATGCACCGGGCCCCAGCTCGGCCCGTTTGCACATGTCGGCGTTTCAAGTACTCGCTCCAGCCTGAAGTTGCAAGCATCGGGCTTCGTGAAGCCCAGTTATGGCCTGGGCTTCCTTCCAGCTTGCACCGGCCTACTTCCTGGATACTTGGCGGTTGGCCGCAGACCCCATAAGCTGAGGAACCCCGAGCCCGTGCGTCCTCCAGAGATGGATAGCCGAACGGAGCCGCACTTGCCGAAATTCTTGTAAGCTGTTCATTGCATGACACCCAGGCGGCAGCCGCAGCGGGGCCCCCAATTTGTACCAGGGTGCCGGTCGTTCTATCTTGAGTGTCTTTAATGAAGATGTGCTGCAGAACCCGTACTTACGAGTGCAAAAGGAAATTGGTGACCTCTGCGTGAAGCTTTAGGGATCGGTCTTACGCACTCACACCCATACGCTCTGGCCTACACCTCCATTGCAAGGCCTGGGCTGGGCAACTACTAGACCGCAACCGCAGTAAGCTTCTGATCGCAAGACGCATGAGACGAGGATTCTGACATGATGATGCTGCGGCGACGGACGCCCCGACACAAGTCCCAAGCCCGGAAATTCCACAATCAACCCAGGCAACCCTGAAGACAAAACCTGAAACTCATCACGAGTCGCCCATTCGGAGAGCTCTCGGCTCAAAACGTCCAATCCAAAGAGTTCGCCATCTTCTGCCGGCATGGGCGCGTGCATAGGCACATGCTTTTCGCTGGCGGAGGGGTGGAAGGCCTTAGAGTATAGAAGGCGCATACAGGTTTTGGCATTCTGTTTACGCATGACTATGGCACCTGCCAACACACTTTCTGTGTTACTTGAGCGTCGGGTTTGAGTTCTTCGTCGGGGTTCAGGGGCTCAAGTCCGGGGAAGGAGCATGAACCGGAGTACGTAATCGATCACGCACTGATGCCACAATATTATGTGACCGTCGGGTTGCTATGGTGTTCAGGTTTGTCAAGCTTATAAGCCCAGAAGAGACCACAGGTTCTTGGGTTCTCCGGTATGAGCCAGAACCAACCCTTTTTGATGGTGCTCCTGCAGAAGTTCCTTTACCTTTGAGGCCATGCTCGAAACTCCAACGCTGAACTCAGAACCCTTGAGCTCATGCAGGAAAGCCGGATGTCATCCGAAACAGCGTGGTCGTCTCCGACAACGAGCGGGGCAAACCAGTCGCGTCCGCCGAGGTTTTGGTCGAAGCCCGGCAAATGTGTTAACGTTGACTATGACTAGGATGGACCTAGCATGCAACCTTGCGGATCACGGAAATTTCTGACTTCAAAACCAGCTACTGTGATTCTTGAGCAGATCGCCTAACTTTCAACTTCCTGAACTGCTTGCTGAACTTTCCTGCTTTCCCTAATAAGGAACCGAAGCACGCCAAAGGCGACACAGTGTGATTGGCTCAGCTGAAATGGCTTTTTCCTGGGTGGCATGGGGAAGACGCATTGGCACAGTTCATTTCGAGAGAGTAATTTTTTGTTCCCGCTGTCTTCATGGCTCCCCACCATCGAGCAAGGTCAAGAAGCAAGTTCATCATTAGCCACCCTGGCGATGTACAGGACACTTGGCTGTGGAACAAGCTCAGGAGATTCGGGTCCTTCATGCGACAATACTTGATCCAGATTGCGTGCCGCCAATCGGATCCTAACCTGCGAACTGCAACAAGTGTATAGAGTTGAAACCCTTTGGATGCAACGGCAGAGAGAGAGAGAGAGAGAGAGGGGGAGGGGTCAACGTGCTGCTTGAGCTGTCCCTTTGGACAACCCGCACCATTTTCACTGCTCATGCACGCGGACGATCCTACATGTCATGTCTATGCATGTTTGTTTTGGTGTTGAACAGAGCACCTCCAGGACAGTGCAGGGCCACAGTCTTTCCTACCCCGGCCTGGGCTTAGGGTTTCAGGGACATGGACTTGTGTTTCTGATCGCTGAATAGGTCGAATAGGTGAACACGGCTAGGCGGAGATGCCAAAGCTGAACCAGTATTTTGTAGTAGCAATAGTTAGAAGCAGTAGCCAGTCGTAGTAGTAGTAGTAGTAGTAGCAGCAGCAGCAGCAGTAGTAGTAGTAGTAGTAGCAGCAGCTGCAGTAGTAGTAGTAGTAGTAGCAGCAGTAGCAGTAGCAGTAGCAGGTAGTAGCAGCAGCAATAGCAGTACTCATAATTGTAAGTCTTGCTGCGATGGCCATTCCTAGTTCTGTCTAATACCACAATTAAACCAGTATCACGGACACTGAGCCATCACAACCCTGCGTTCCCTGCTGTGAGACTCAGGACATGTATACATTGCAGGCGAATAAGATCGGTGAAGGCACCTATGGCTCCGTCACCATTGGCGTGCACAACAGCACCCAGAGCTGCAACTGCATATGGGAGGGTCTCGGGCGAGGTTGTCAGCGACGTCCGAATTTGCATCTCTTCATCCCTACTAGCGTTGTGGTTTTTCAGGTAAAGACAATTGTAAACTATTCAGAAGGTGCACATTGTGCTCAGGTAAGCACTTTTTCTGTTCGGTTGAAAGCACTTCCGGCAACACATTGCCGCCCAAGGCCGAGATGTTCCTGTCAACAGAGCCTTATGAGTAAGGAATTTCTGGTCCGCATACTCAGAGGCACCGAGTTCATCTTTGGGTAGATGCTTTGGACCCTTCAAGCATTGTGTAGAATCCGTCTGCTGCCACCCATTGCCACCCCATAGATTGGCCGTGGTCAGTGGTTCTGCAGGTACGCACCAGCAGCGTGCGATCAAGACCATGTCAAAAGCCAATATGTGCCTCGGTCATGACTCATTCTGCAGACATGAGACGAGGAGGTTAAGGCACCCGTGCTGCTAAGTACGGGAGAGCTGTAGTAGCCAGTGATAGTTAGTACTGTTGCTTGTACTGCTGTGTACAACACTGTATTTTGCCAGCATTGCGCCTGTTCTTACCACCGCCACTACGACGACGACTGCTAGTACGTGTGCTGTTGCTGCTGCGACTGTTGCGGCTGCTGCTACTAATTACTCAGCCACCCAGCTAGCCAGCACGATCATGACAGCGACCACTACTGCCACCAGTACTGCCTGCGGGGGTTCATGAAGACATTTGCTTTTCAGACTTCTGATTGCTTCCTGCGTGCCACTTTGTCTTGAAGTGGAAGCTGCGTCTGTCCTTTGTTCAAGCCTTGAGTGACGATGACATCCGCAAGCCGTTTTGCTCAACGTCCGCTGCCACAACCACTACTGGAATTCAACGTTGCTATCGATTATCGAATGACTATTTCCTTTGCCATTTGCACTCCGAAGTTATCTTTGTTTCGGAGCTGGCCACCTGCAGCCGTTTCTTGGAAGCATGGGCGGTGGGCACTCGCAAGAGCTGGAAGGTCCCGTGACACCGGTTCAGTTCAGCTTCGACGGGCTACCGCTAACGCATGATGGATTTGGAGCGCTGCTGAATCGGTGTCGCCGGACGTTTGCTGGAATTTGTTTCCATTTTCGGGCCTGGTCTAAGATGAGGGCTGCTGGTAAACGATGATGATTGCTGCCTTTGCTTCTTTTGGTGTTTTGCTCCATGTGTCAAGACACAGCCCAGGTTTGCAGGTATCCCCTTCAGCCCCGACCGTTGTGGAAGGCGATGACCTTCGCAGGCGTTGCGATGCAGTGGGCCAGCTTTTGAGCGACGTGCAAGCCGACATTCTCTTCAGTCGGAGCCTCGGAGTTGGAGAAAAAAACTACTTGCTCCTCCGTCTTTGACAAAATCCGGCATCACAACCCGAACAGTCCTTAGAGGCAAACGCTCCGAACTGCAGGTCTTTCTGATTGGGGCGCTTTCTTCTCCAGCAAGAAGAAAGCTCACAGGGACGCGGTCGTTGGCCAGCTTTTCGCTTTCCTCACCGGTATGTCTGTTGGATGATCTGAGAAAAGCCTGTCCCTTTTCCTTGTACAACCTTAAGGATGACTTCCTGCAGCTTGAAGCTTTGTTTGTGCTATCGTCAAAGCAGGAGCTTTCCCACCATCTGCATGTATGCATGTATGTGTATGTGTATCTGTGCATGTACGTATATATATATATATATATATATATATATATATATATATATACGTACGTACTTACTTACTTACTTACATCCGTATGTATGTATGTATGTATGTATATATATATATATACAGTTTCATGTATTTACACAGAGACAGAGAGAGATGAGAGTCATTGCTTTACTCAATACATGGTGTATACAGTCCAGCCAAACTACAGATCAGTATGTACAACTTCATGCAAGTTCATTCATCATGTCTGTTCTTTTGGTTTGGCTGGCATGGCTAGGGCAAATCCGAGGCTTTGCTTTCAGTCTCCGGAGCGGCACACTGGCAGAAGGATGGATGACTGGTGCTGCCTCTTCGAGGCAAAATACGGTGCTGCAGAGGTCGGCGACTTTTGTGACAGCATTCGTGTGCAATGTTGGGGTCGGTTGCGGCATCCCACGGCGTAACGTTGGTCAGCATGTGCACTGTAAACTTTAATCATGTGCGTTCTGTATTCCTCTTCACAAAGAGGAAGTTCACATCAAGGACTTCTTAGTTCTCTTCATGTAGTTTTGGGACAGGTGGCACTCAGCAGAGGAAGCGGCTGCATGCAAACTTTAGGCGAGCTGTCCACGATCCTTTGCCGCACGGCGCAGTCTGAGAAGATGGTGGGAGAAGCCTGGCGTTCCTTCAGTACCCTGCACAGTTACTATATATAAATTTTCACTCCAGCTGTGAGCAGCCCAAAAACAAGACCGCAGGAACGGCAGCAAGAGCTCCAAGAAAACCCTAAACCCCTAAACCCTAAATGCTTGCTATGTAGGAGGGAAGAATAGACCCTAAACACAACGTTCGCAGCCGCAGCAGCTCCCAACCTGTCCGAAGCCGCCCCTGCGATAGGAGAGGCGAAGCAGTGGCACCGATGTAATACAGGGGCCTAAATGATTACCTATACTGTATTGGGGTTCCTTATGCTAACTATAGTATAATACACCCCAAAACCCTGTTCTAATTATTAAGGTGCCTCTATTAACCCTACAGCCAACTTCAGCCAATACATCTTTGCAGTCGCGACCACCTCCAACAACGACGAAGTAACGACGAGGACGACAGCGACGACCACGACTGGAACCACCAATACACTTGCTACATCTTGCTACCACCATCGAAAACCAAAAAAAATCAACATCGGCGGCAACAATGAATAGCAGCCCGGGCCGATACGCAAGCAGGAGTAGGAACAGCATCAGTGACGGACACAGCTGCGGCATCGGCCGTTGTCGATATTCGTTTATATATATATATATACTTAAGCCAGCAAGCGAGATTCTTTACGAGGTTCATCGTCGCTTTGTAGGACTTCGTCTCACGCCGAAGGCGGTTCTTGGCATGTACCAGTAGATGTTGTACACGCATCCCAGGACAGGGTGAAGGACGCGACGAAAGCCTTGCTCCAATTCTTAACCGAGCAGACAGAAAAAATGGCAGAGATACTTGTGGATGACCTCGAAGAACACAGCCAAGCAATTCGGATGGCCATGCAGAGGCGTTCAGATCTGGTGGTTGCAGCAACTCTATTGCAGGAGAGCGGCTGGTCGTTCACCTCGCAGAAAGTCAACGGTGTGTGCCGTGCGCCATCTTTGCTCCGACTTATAGGGTTTCCCGATCCGACCTCTACCACGAAAGCATCACCAGAGGAGCAGCAGAGGCTTCAGTCTGTGATCGGGCAGAGCCCGGATTTGTTCTGGCAAGTGCATGGTACTCCTTCACATGATGACATGGGCACTTGGGTAACGCACGATGGTGTCCGCTACTGGTGCAAAGTGGAATTGCCCGTCTCGGTCTACTACGTGGGGCCCAACACAGGCTGATATGCAGTGTGCGTATGTGTGAGTGATTCGATATATACATACACACACAGATATACATATACATATATATATATGTGTGTGTGTAGTCATAAAGATAGATGCTGTGTAACCAAAGCCATGCATACATGTATGATTCATGCATGCATACATACATGCATCCATATTTACATACGTGTATATTATACACACATACACATTAAATATGTATACAGATAGATATATACGGAGCCAGGGCTCGTCACGAGCGGCTGGAATGGTACGAGTTTCACCCGTCCCGGGCAGATGCCTTGGTTTTAAGCACAGCTCCAAGTTTCTGGGTTTTCAACGCCTCGACAATCAGAGCCTGCACAACTGGCATCTATGCCAGGCGATAGCTGGCATGTTGCGGCCTTGGAGCAGGCGTGATTCCAGAAAAGGACGTACACTTTGTTTGAGCAGCGAGGCTCCATCGTGGAGGAATTCAGTTCAACCTCCTTCGCAGCCATGATTCAACGATGCATCTCTGCCGTCTAAGGAAGCATGTCGTCCGCTTCCAACAAGAGATCCAGATCATGAAAACCATGGATCCTTGGCAGAGTCACAGAGGTACTTCACGCTTGGCTCTAACTCTAAGACATGCACTGCTTTCCCACGCTTCGAGCTGTCTGTTGTTTCCATACACCTTACGGCTGGATAGAGCAGCTCTCTGCGTAAGTACATGTATAAACAAGTTACACACATCAGTACACATGAGTATTTGGATGCATGAGTACGTGTATACACACAGCAAATCCCCCGAGCTGCACCTTCTGGACCGTGATCGAGCTTGAAGCGGCTTCGGTCTCTGTCAGGACCATCCAAACATCATCAAGCTCTACGAAACTTTCGAGGTGGCGAGAGTCATAGTATGGGCAGTATTGGGCTTTTTGCTGGTTCCATGCTTGTGCCGCTGGCGCATTTATTCTTGTTATCTAATGGTGGCCGCGGGTGATCGCTAGTGCACCTATTCGGTTGTTTTGTGTTCGATATGTGGGGCTCTCATCAACCACCAGATGCCTCTCCGCTCTCTTTGCTTTATAGAGTTCCGTTTTGAAGCCAAAATTGGACAAAGCTAGCAATTCAGCAAATCCCACGTTGCTGGATGTCGCGCTAGTTGTGTTGCGTCTGTCTGGGAGGACCGGAAGCACATCTACCTGGCCATGGAGTTGTGTACAGGTGGCGAACTTTTCGATCGCATCATCGAGGCAGGCGGCATCAGTTCACTCACTCATCGCATGTCCTCCTGTCATGTCATAGTCCCACTTTCACTCGCCTCTTGGTCCCCTGCCTATGCAGAAGGGCATCCTTTCCGGGCGTGTCTGGGCGCTGGAATCCCTGAGGTGGGCCAGTTTACCGAGAAGGATGCTGCGATCGTAGTGCAGCAGATGCTCTCGGCAGTGCCGGGCTGATTTGTTCACCCATGTAAGGAACTCCCCCCTCTCCAACCAGACATGTGGAATCTTCTTGACAAGCCGGTTCGTTGGGTTTCCCATAACTCCGGTAGGAAACTTCGTGGTATGACTTCGATCATTACAAACCAGCACGGCTCAACGGACTGGAGCCTCATTGATGCCATTGGTGCAGGATCTGGACAACTAGCAAGGCTTTCACACTTTTTGCCGTAAGCCTGATGCCCCAGTCCAAGCGCGGAAGCTTAAACCTTGTAAAGAGCACCTTCTTTGAGACGTTGTTTGGAGCCCTGTAGGCACGGGCCACAGCCCACCAGCACATGTTTATCCGGGTCAGAGTTGAAGTGGGGTTTGCAACTAGACTTTGCAGCACTTGTTACTGTTGCTGATGCTGTGGTTGCTGCTGCGAGGCCTAGAATTCATAACAACACATACGCACACACATACATCTTTCTCTCTCTAATATATATATATATATATATATATATATATATATTTATACGTACATATGTATATATATATATATATATATGTATATCTGTCTATTATATATATACATATATTTTTTATATATGTATATATACATATATATATGTATATATATATATATATATATATATATATATACGTGTACATGCTGCGGATCAGGAGCAGACAATCATGGTGCAGCAAAATGAGGCAGTCGAAGTGCAGAACCGTTCGATCACTCGAGGTCTTCTACATGCATACCCGCGGTGTATGCCATCGTGACCTCAAGCCAGAGAACTTCTTGTTCCTGTCCAAGGGCACCTGGGCTTGGTGTTTGCGAAGCCAAGAGAGTTTGTTTTAAGTAGGGTTCCAGGTAGGATTTGCAGGTCGAACTTCCAGTTTGGAGTTGAGGACCTCTTTTCTTGCCTTTCGGAATCAGGTAATAAGTACAGCTCGTGCGCCGGTGTTCTTTTGAAACAACCGTCAGACTGTACGGGTCAAAGGACGTTTCTGCCTAGAGTGGGCCACTGGGGTCACTGCACTTGCAGGGAGTCTTGAAAGCTATAATCAGAACAAGGTATGGGGGTACATTATGTTATTTCTATAGTTATATTAAGTATAACCCCTAGAATTAGAACAAAACAAGGTTTGGGGGTACATGAAACTAGAGTTATAATAAGGAGCCCCCAGAACCCGATTCTAGTTTTTAAGGCCCCCTTGGTGCGTTGGACACCGTTGGACTTAGGTCCCATCGAGAACACGCTGCTGAAGATCATCGATTTCGGGCTATCCAAGTGCTTTGACGCCAGCATCCCCATGGCCACCAAAGCAGGCACTCCTTACTACGTGGCCGGGCAGCAACAAGACTCTTCCTGCACATCTCTAGCCTTTGCAAAGATACTAGCAGGGGCCCTTCAGTCATGCATCGTGATTCGAGATGTCAGGTGGCACCCCAGGTCCTGCAGGGCAAGTACGACAACTCATGCGATCTTTGGAGCTGCGGAGTCATCATGTACACAATGTCCTTTGCCTGGAGCTAATGAAGGGAATCATGCCACATGGTCTGGTGAGAATCAGAGAGCCGGCCGAAGAAGGCTAGCGTCCTAAGGGGTGAAGACCAGCTTCAAAGTGTGTGGCCTCCTCTCCGACAAGCCTTAGCTCGAAGGAAGACACCGACTTCTATATTCGAAGTTGTGGCTCTTCACTGTAAAAGGAAGACCTTGGCTGTACGAGTGCAGTAGGGGTCAGACAGAATGAGTAGCAGTAGACGTGGCAGTAGGCGTAGCAGTATAAAGCAGCAGCATAGTAGGGAGTAACATTGGCAGTAGTGGTAGAAGCAGTAGTAGCAGCAACAGCAGTCACCGTTTTAGCAGTTGCCACTCGCTGTTCTTACATACTAGTCATGCCTGACTGGTACTCAACAGTGGAGCGCAGGTGCGGCGGAAGTGCCGTGCCGCTGCCACAGAACGGTTCAGACCCGTCGACACTGTACAGTAATGAGAATTGGAGTCAAATCAGGAATATGAAATGAGTTCTGATGAGATGTTGTAGCAGCAGTGATACTGTGGCAGTCATAGCAATTGACAACCTGGGTTCCAGGCCGTGCTACCGACTGTGCAACAACTGCGGCTGCAGAAGCGTACAAATCGCAGCTCACAGTCCAGAACGTCTCTAATACATCCTTACGGAGAGGTTTAACTGTCCGAACATAACTCGCCTCTGCGGCAGCATGTGCAACAGGTTGTGCGGGTACCCGCCTTTCTACGGCAAGACTGATCAGGAGGTCCTCAGCAAGGCCAGCGTTTCGACTATTCCGAATCCCCCCTGCTTCTTCATGGTTCTGATTGTAGCACGAGCAACAGTATGCACAATTGTAATGCCGACTATGACTACAATAACTCTGACTTTGGCCAACAGCCGAAACCAAAGGCACAGCGCTGTTCTGTTCTTGGTAAACGGTTTCGAGCTGGGGAAGGGAATGTTGATCGCCTTGTATGACTCCTCGTACTCCTTCACCTCCTGCTTCTCCGTCCTCGTCCTCCTCCGCCTCCTCCTCCTCCTCCTCCTCCTCTCACTACTGCCTACGGTGTTGTTGCTTTTGCAAAGCTAAATTTACTTCTTTGGTTACGCACGGTCGCTTCTGGCGATTGATCTGCGTTTCCCCGAAGTGCACTCAATCGCGTTCGATGTATTGGTGTCTCGAAGTCACGGCGCTATTCGTGGAGAGCTTGAACAAATTAGACCCTGGCTGCCATCATAACCACCGACCATTTAACAGGCCCCCAAAAACTTGTCAGTTCGGAAGCCCCAAGGCCAACATGCTAACTTGCCAGGCTTGTCCGAGAGTGAGTGTCAAAATCCGAGGGAATGCAGTGCGGGTAGCGAGGCTTCAGCAATGAAAGAGGCCAAAACTCGAATTACATCCGAAGCTATATATATCTATCTATATATATATATATATGTATATACATGCATATGCACACCCTCTCCCCACGAACCACCACAAACCCCACATCTGGAAGAAAACTGAACACCAGACTATAGAGTCCCAAGATGCACCCAAAATAAACTACAACATACTATACCTATAGTCTCCATTGCAGTTCCTTTTTTTGGTTTAGCCGATTACATATTATGGATCCTATAAGGTAACCCACAAAAGGAACTACAATGGAGACTATAGGTAGTATGGTACTACAACGAAGTGTTACAACAAGGCACTATAAGAGTGTCGAGTGTCTGCTCATGTTGCATCATAGTCTGGCCCCTCAGGTGCGGAAAGGTATTTATCAGTTCGAGCCGAAGTATTGGAGGCACATCTCCGCGGATGCCAAGAAGCTGATTGGTGCTTTGGGTGTAAAAGAACTTGCATGGATCTTCAATTTCTAGGATTCTAGGATGCATAAGCCATTATTGAGGAGTTGTTAGCTGTTGTGGTTTCATGTGGTCAGATGGTTTTCGTGCGCGAGAGGTGCGGGCGGTTTAGAGATCTGCACCGAAGGCTGTGATTCGGAACAAACCTGTAAGAGCAAGCAATGGAAGCCATGCCTATAGCTACAATTTAATTAGTCTTGGGACAGTATTGGCAAGAGCAGTACAAGAAATCGTATCGTCGGTAGTGTGAATGGTCTACTTCAATCTTGTACCGGTAATCACACACAGAATCAGAGCAGCCGAATGCAATGGTTTCTACTTGCTCGCACCTCTTACCACGAGTGTTTCCTCTCAACCGAGTCCGTACGACACGGACCCCAGACGGACCCAGTGTGTGGGCCCATGTTGAGGTTCCCCTGTTTCAAGCACCTCCTGCGCCAGAGAGGCTCTAACATCTCTGTTCAGGCATAGCTGCAATAAAGTCGGCTTAGCTCAGGACTACTGCTCAAATTCGAGCCGGAGTCGCGCTACACTGCTGAGGAGGCGCTGCAGGCGCAGGGGCTTGTGCGTACAAGTTTCTTCAGTGTGAAGGGTCGGTGCATCGCACCAAAGCCTAGGACTTTACGAATTCGGAGGGCTGTGGAATTTCAGGAACTGTGTCATGGTGGAATGTGGTAGCGTCTGATAGACTATCCGAGTGGAGCTAGACTCTTCACTCGTGCACGGACATGAATACTCACGCTCGCTTGTACAAGTCCAACATAATTTGCATGACTGGCCTGCGCGAGCTGAGAATGCGAGTTTGTGATGGCTGCAATGTGATCCAGAATCTTCACAAGCTGCGCATGGAGCTGTCGATGCCATGCCGAACTTAACTGGAATTCAATCGTGCTTGAGGATGTTTGGATCAAAGAGCGAGCACCCAAAGCAGAGAACATCTGCTTGCAGGACTGCCTGCATGTTTGCCGTGTGGTTTGCGTCTGGTCGGAGATGAAGTGTAACCATGGCTTGACTACCAGAATTGAGAGTGTCACCAGCTCTCTGGGCTGCTCACATGCAAGTGTTTACCGGGCTTTTCCAAGTTTGCGTGTGTGCTGGCGCGCGGATCGCCGGCAGCCTCTAGGTTGGAGCAAGCTCCAGGCTCTGAACGCAGAACCAACACTAGGTCCGCCCTGGGTAGATGGCTTGGTCGCAGCCGCCCACTCCCCATCCAGAATCGATCGTTTCCTCGACGAAGGATCGTATCATGCACAACCTGAAGAGCTTCAGGCACCTTGCTTGCAACAGGGACTGCTGATCGATCCAAGACCGCTGCGCATTGACATATTATGTCTCTCGCTCTACATCTATCTCTCTCTCTCTCTCTCTCTCTCTCTCTCTCTGTCTGTCTCTCTCTCTCTCTCTCTCTCTCTCTCTCTCTCTCTCTCTCTCTCTCTCTCTCTCTCTCTCTCTCTCTCTCTCTCTCTCTCTCTCTCTCGCGCTCTCGACATAATGAAACAAAAACACAAATGAAGGTGTGAATGTGCATGTGCATGTGTATATATGTACATGTATACATATATAACATATCTGTATGTATATATATATATATATATATGTGTGTGTGTGTACGTGTAGGTACATGCAGATGTAAGTATGGTATGTGCTTGTTTTTCAATGTGCATGTATATGTTTACATCTATGTCTAATGTGCATGGGCATGTAGTATGGGTACATACATGCATGCGTGCATACATACGGAGTGTGTGTTTGTTTGTGTGTGTGTGTGTCTTTGCTGGCTACAGCGGTTACGTTGCCCCTACTGTATGTGGGTACCACATGTGCGCATCATTCTCCTTCTATTATTCCTTCTGACCTTCAGCTGTGAAGAGGCAAGCAACTGATGAGGTCCAAGAACAAGCTCAAGAAAGCGGCCTTGAACATCATCGCCTCCCAGATGAGCGAAGCCGAGATCGCAGACCTGCGGGACCCGTAATCATTGCTTTCGGATCACCTCATCGGTTTTGGGTAGTAGCTTAGAAAAGGACTCGCTGTGCAATGTGCAGTGATCCAAGTAGTGAGTAGCGTTGTGCAACCTGCTAAATGAGTCTTCTGACATGCCATCAGGGAGCCCAATCTCGCAGTGATTAATGGTCTTGGGTCTTTACATGGCGATCTCAGTTCCACTCGAAGGTTTGGAGGGTTTGCGTTCTTAAAGCGCGGTGTCGCTGCGCAGGTGAGGTAAAGAAGTGCTGCCGCAACACATGGTGGCAACACTTACGTATGTTTCAATGCGTCAATGCTTGAGTGCCTATCATGTACTGGCACTTTCAGGCATGGCTAATCAACTTAATCACCATGTTCCTTCGGCACCGAATGGCGGCATCCATCCCCGAGAAATCATGCAACTAGTTCGCCATCTATTGCCATCAGCCATGCTAACTAAGTGGTGAAGTTATTGTCGCAGCATTCACTCAAGAAGCGTTGCTGCGGTAATTTATACGGGTCCACATGCTCTGGGAGCACATTGGGATCATTCGGTATATGCATACATAAGCATATCTGTATACGTATACACGCATTCGTAAATAGATATATACACATACTGTTCTGGATAGTCGCAATGCATGTGGATCATTGAAGTAGATATAGGACTCTTGCCAAATCCTGGCCTATAGTGTAAAACCAGAAAGCTTCAAAACTCAAGCCTGCAGCGCGATGCCTTCTGTATACATATATATATATGTATACATATAGTATATATCTGTGTATGCTTGTGTATATATATATATATATATACATATTCATTTATTTGTTGCAGATTCGCCCCCCCTGGCAACTCAACGGGTTGGGAAATCCTTGCCAGGAGATATTTAAAGCGCTCGACATGAATGGTGATGGTGCCTTGCCTGACTTTTGCTACGGCCAAGTCTAGCAGTCTGCCGGGCATGGCTGTCAACGGAGAAATGTTCAGTGTAAGTGTTTAGGACAAGGGCTTTAGGATATATTGCAAGTCCGTGCTTAAAGAGGGTTTAGGGTTGCAGTGTAAGTAGTGCCCGGTTTGTGACTCGAGCTGGAATCATCGCCCAGAGAACTCCGAGATGAGGAAGTTCAGGAGATCTCCGGTAAGACGCCCCGTTTGCCAAGTGGAGGAAAGTGTCATCAAAACGTGGTAGCAACCTGGAAAAGTCCCCAACTTTGGGGGTAGTGGTTTAGGGTCCTATAGAGGTTAGGGATTTGGGGGCTTGGGTTTTGGGTTTAGGAGTTGAGCTTAGGCTTCGTCAACGACAGTCGTTTGCTTCAGTTTGGCTTGGTTGGGCCGCCCTCGGTGTCCCAACAGCAGCCGAAGCCTATGCCAGCCCTCGGGGGCCACGCCCGGCTCGGCCAAGTCGGCTTTTCCGACTACTACGGTTGATGATATAAATCCTGCAGTACCCATACTAAGGAATAGACCATAATTCCCATAGTTTAGGGTCCTTAAGGTCATGCAGGATTTATATCATCAACCGTAGCAGATAATAGCCTACAGGTGTAAGAAAACCAAAGTCGGCCTCAAACCCCTATTCACGCATTCGTAAACATCTACGAGCCATGAACCTCCTCTGTTAGAGTTCTGTTGCTGTGCCGTGTGCGAGAATCAAGATCCTCGAGCGTACTGTAAATGCGAAAACCCTATACACAAACTCATACGAGGCCTAGTCCAAGCTCGGTAAGAGACAAAAACTGCTAATCCCTAAACCAGGACTCCCCTTTGGGTAATTCTGCTGAGGCTTCCTGACCACCACGGAGCTGAAGGATGGTAGCTTGGATTCAGACACAACTTACCATTGGTTAGTAGGGAATGGAAGAATGGTAGTAATGGTAGTTATAATTGTACCCCATTCCTCCATTCCCTACTAACCAAAGGTAAGACAAGGGGACCGCGGACGTGTATCCGACCCTGAAACACATGCTGAACCACTACTACTTCTACTACGACGACTACTACTACTGATACTAATACCGGCCTCGGGAGCCGGGCACAGCTTCCAAGCAATGCGAGAGGGAAAAAAATACCGGCAATAGTAATTACAGACAAGTGCTACCATTATGAATGCTGTCAGTGTTGTGCTTGGCCAATCATACCGACATGAGAAGTACATGTTGTAGATACCTGAGATGCTAAGGCATCACGAAGGCGCGCGCGAGGAGCCCGACGATCGACTTGCAGGCAAACTTGTTTCTGCAGCCTACCCGAAACCCTGAACTTAACCTCAAACTCAAACCCCGATTGTCTAATCACTAGTCCTGCCATGCGGGGTCGTCCTTGCGAAGTAGGAGGCAACGCAAACCCCAAACCGTTCGTTTAGGCTTTACGGGGTTCAGAAAGCCAGCATGGGAAGCAGAGCAGCAGCCGTTCAGCTCCAAAGCCAGCAACACCATTAATGAAGGCGTGACCAAATTGAGCCACGGGGCTGACCACCGACGCCAGCGACTTCTGGTTTAATACGTCTAGGGATGTACGCGCCCTCACATGCAGGTGGACCGGTGCTTAGGATAGGTCGGATAGGCGAGTTCTGGAGCCAGCACGTCGATATGCCCACATGTGCGGCTCTTCATCCACCTGGTTACATGTAGACGATGTAGACATGTTAG